TGGCTGTCATCTCCCTGTAACCTCATGAAGAAGAGGGAGAGGGGCCTCCCTAGGTGCTCTTTTATATGGGCATTAATCCCATTTCTAAGGGTGGAGAGTGCTCTCCCACACAATCCCATCTCCAGACATTATCATATTCAGAATTCTGTTTCAACATAGGAATTTGGGGGATGGGTGGGCACAAAGTTCAGTTCATAGCACTATTTGAAATTATCCTATTGTTTTATGTGTACCTTTTGTTAATTACTATATTTTCTCCCAGGTGATACACTCCATGAGGGCAGATCTTATTCACCTCAATAATGCCAATACTTAAGGTCAGGACTATAATGAAAACATAATAAATATTTTTGAATAAATTAATCCCCATATTCTGGAAGTGCCGGGAGGCAGAAGTCTTGATAATGGGCCATTCCTAACAAGGAATGGCATCTGGAGTCCAGATAGGAGCAACAGAAGGCATGAGGTAGCAGAGTGGCCTGAATTGGAGGAGCTGACAGGCTGGTTCTCCAGGACCAGGAGCCTGATAGGGTCTTGGTTGTAGGCCCTACAGGGTGAGCAGCAGACCCTCCTGCCTAGAGCTCCCAATGGTACTGCCATGGGTTTTCAAGACCAGCATGCTCAGAGGGAAGAAACTCTGCAAGATGCACCAAGGAGAATGAGGGGTGCTGTCTGAGGTGGGATGTCGGGCTGCTGAGAGATGGGAAGAGAAGGAGAAGGGATGCTGGAGGCCACTCAGTGAGCAATCTTGGAGGTAATGACAAAGATCCTTCTTCCATTGGTGTCTTTGGAAACAACTACCAGGAAATAAAATGAGTCTTAAAACAGAAACAAATAAAATCCTTCCTCTAGGAAATCCCCCAAAGCATGTATCCCTTATTAAAAATACGTGTGTGAATGTCTCAGGCACTGAGCACCTTACCAATATCTCATTTCTTCCTCACAACAGGCATTTCTACTGCATGCCCTTGTACAGATGAGAACGGTGCGGCTCAGAGAGTTGACCTGACTTGCCCAGGTTGGAAAGTGGAGCTAAGACTGAAGACCAGTCAGGATTTGGTGCTTTTATGTGATCATTGACAATCGCATATAAATTGTCCACCTTTCAATGACATCAACTTTTTGGGATTATGAAGGAAAAAATGGAGCTCTTCAAGATTCTGTCTTGAGCCCACTTTTATTCCTCTCGCCTTACCAGTGTCCAGGGTGTTGATCTCAGTCATTTCCTTTTCATCATCTCCCACATCTCTGGGTCTAAGCTTCACGCCTCTGTATCTAGCTACCTGCTGACATGGTTACCTGGCCGCCCTATGGAAACTTAACTTGCCATGTCCACAGCTGAGTTCATCATTGACTCCGTGACCCTTCTTTCCTGTGACTATTCCTTGTGCTACTTAAGTTATATCCCCCACAGATAGCTATCCCAGTGGGAAATCTGAAAATTATTCCTGAAACCTGCCTTCCTTCCCATATCTAGAAATTTCTTTCTGTTTAGTCTTATCCCAACATATTTTGCCCATCCCGATGAATACTCCTTTCTTGTTATTATTGACTGTGTTTTTTTTTTTTCTTTTTTTACTGGTCTGCTTATCACTGTATGAGCTCTCACAAACCTTCGTTAAGCAGCTACTACCTTAAAAATACTATAATGAAAATTTAATTCTCTTACCCTTCTGTTCTCTTTTCCTATTATGAATTCCTGTAGCCTATCATCCCTTGGTAGATATTGTCTTCTTGTCTTAAAAAATGCCACCAGTGTATCTTATCTCTCCCTTCCCTTATTTCTTTTCTTCGTTTCTTCCATGAATTTTTTTTAAAAAAAAACTTTATTTTTAGTTGTTAGTGAGCACGGTACCTTTATTTTATTTTTATGTGGTGCTAAGGATTGAACCCAGTGCCTCACAAGTGTGAAGCAGGTGCTCTAGCACTGAGCCACAGTCTCAGCCCCTTCCATGAATTTTTAAAAAGGAAATTTTTCTTTAACTTCTTTCAAATGCTAGTCTCTGAAACTAATATTGTATGGAGGTATACAATCTAAAAAAAAATTCATGTGTATATTGTTTCATGACTCACAACACTGTTGACAGGCAGAGAGAAGTAGCCCCATCTTTGTAAGTGGAGGCATGGGCTCCAATAGGACGAGGGTATTGCCCAAATTCATGGAACCAGAGAGCACCATGATGTGCACTGGAACCTGGGATTTCGAATCTTGGAGGCAGGCACCCCTAGCACTTTATACCTGCTTTTCTCTTTTGACACAGCCTAACACATTGACAATACTTAGAGATCTTTGATTCCATTCCATCAGGTCAAGTGGTGTTCAGTCAAAGGCTGGCAGGGGCAGGAAGTGCAGCCTATTATACAGTGGAGTCTACTAGCTGCAAATATCCAGCGTCTCTTGGAGTGAGTCAGTAAGAAAGCCTTTCTATCATCTTGGCTATTGACCAAGGATAATACATGACCAGACCTTCTCTTGTGGTTTTAGGGGTTTGTCTGTCTGACAAGTAAGAACTGCTCATGGCAGGAATCAACACTGCTCCTTATTCTTCTTTGTGTCTCCAAGGCTCAACGCAGACATGGTGGATCAATATGCAGTTATCTACTCTAGGGATCAATGCCTAGGGATTTAGAGATGGGAAGCAACTTTAAAGAGTATCTTTGTGAACCATGTTTCCCCAAATTGTAGCTACTAGGTGACAATGATTCTGTATAAGACGTTGTACTTTTCTTTGTACTCCAGTTTATTACTTATTTCCTTCTTATTTATTGAAATTTATCAGCATTCCAGGTTTTCTAAGTAAAGAAAATGCAGCCTTCAGACATCAGCAGGCTGCGTCAGGAATGGAATTTCTTAGGAATTAGTGTCAGAGCTGCATTTGAACATCAGCAGCTGATTCCAGATTCTGGGATAGGGAGCCAGTGCTTCCTGCCTTCATATCTAAGGCCCCTTCTGTTTCTCCAGCAAAGGAGCCAAGCCGAGGAGACTGTGGATGAGGAGATAACCAGGTGCCTGCAGCGGTCCGTGAGGGGAATGCAAGAAGCTCTGTACGGGAAGCTCTGCAGTGGTCTCTGTTCGGAGGAGGGAGCCTAGGAGAGAGAAAAATCACAGGAGGATCCTGGGATGTGAGCAGGGGGAGATGGTGGTGCCAAGGACAGGAAGGGAGGCCAGGCCTATTTCTCTTTGAACCAAGCTGAGAACACTGGTCATGCATTTCAAGTCTACATTTTGGAAGAAAAAGATAATGCTCTTTTAAAACTGTTCTCCCTTCCATTTCAAAATGAAGGTCGGCGGGAGAGAAGTAGCATCTGAGATGCTAATGAAAGAAAACCCCAATGACTGCAGAAGCAATTTAAAGATTTGCTGGGATTTGTCGAGGCCCCTGTGGCTGTACCTTCTACTTGCAATTCCTCCTCAGCAGTCTGGATGGGGAGATAAATACACTTTTTTTTTCTTTTTTAAAGTACAACATTCAGGCACTTTTGAAACTAGGGAAAGCGGAACCTGGGAGGCTTAAAATATTAATCATGTATCCAGGCTTGCCAGAGAAAAGACGATGGCATTTTGCAGGTGTAACACAGAGAGAAAATCCCCTCCAGGAACCGGTGATACGGAGGTGGATTTCACGCGTGTGTGCACCGGGCACAGACAGAGAGCTCTGTTCATACTGAATGCAGACCTGGATTCCCAGGCCCCTCTTTAAAGGGAGAGCCACAGGCCAGAAGCTGCCGTAGGATAGTCGGAGGCCTCATTAGGCCACCATTGCAGGGCCATAGGCTGAGCCCAGAAACCGTGACGACAGGCTCGAGGGTGCATGGATTTAAAGAGCACGTGGGTAGTGATTCCACATGTTTTATCTCCTTGGAGCTCTTCAGTGGCTGTCCGGAGTAGACTTGGTGAGAGTTCTCTTTGTTATCAGGGACCTGCAGCCTACATCTACTTCCTGCCTTCCTATCTTCAGCCCCAGAGCATCCTCTTTTTACCATCTTTAAAATGCACCACTGAGTCTCCCAAATCCGAGTCTGTTCTGCTCCTTGTGTTTGCACTACGGAGGACGAGTCCACAGGATTATTGTTGAATTAATGATTTTAAAGGGATGGAAATAGCGGGAATCTCAATAGTGAGGAAGCAACCAAGACTCAAGAAATTTAGAGTTCTTTAAGTTCGGTTCTTGGTCTTCAGCTCTTATTATTATCCGGTCATGGTCCTGGAAGTCTCAAGGACTGGACATTCTGTTTTTCTTCTTGCAGTTGTGTACGTAATCTTCTACCTCTTTTCCTCTGAAATTTGTACTTTATTCTTTGCTTTTTTTTTTTTTTTTTGCAGTACTCAGGGGCACTCAGTCACTGCTCTCCATCCCCAGCTCTATTTTATTTTAAATTTTGAAACAGGATTTTGCTAAGTTGCTGAGGCTGCTGTTAAACTTATGATCCTCCTGCCTCAGCCTCCTGATCACGGGATTACAGGTGTGCACCACCTTATTCTTTAAATAGCGTGAAAGAAAGTTGACAAGTGTGACTCTATTTTGTGACCCAGACTCTGCCTCCTGCCTTGGTGACCGTTCTGTGAACTTGCTAATGTGCCCAAAGAAAGTTCTTCCTGAGAAGAAACATCCTGGAGATGGAATAAGGGAAGCTCTCCCCTATAACAGAGGCATGGTGTGAACCAGTCTGCGCTGCACCAACAAGCTATCGCTGTCCGTCTGTCCTCCAGCCATGATTTTTAGTAGCAAGTTCTTGAATTCACTTAAACATCTCTGTCTTTTTGAAGGCCTTGCATGGACCTTCCAAACCTTTTCCTACAGGGTCACGTTGAGTTTTATACTAGAATCTGTGCCTCTAGAATTGCAATTCTAAGACCTCGAATGAATGACTTCTTAACGAATTGTCTGAGCCCCTTTGGATGTAAAGAGAGCGGGCAGCTCACTATTTCTTGACCTCACCCATAGTCTGTTTCAAATCTCTACACACTGCGCTCCCTGTTTCCTCTCCTTAAATGAACGCAGCTTCCTCTGTTGGGTGAAACTGTCCACCTGTCCTCTCCTTTCTCTTCCTGCTGGAAGAACTCCCAAGGCCCTGCCATGGAGCTGCTCACCTTCCTCTTAGGACGACTGTGTTCTTCTGGACTGGGACTTCAGTCACTAGGACCTAACGTGGTGTCCAGCACAGTAAATGGATTTTGCCTGTACGTAATAGTCAAGTTCTCTCGTGACTGCCAAATGACTTGATCATGTCAGAACTGCTTTAGACTCTTGGACTCAGGTTTGGGTTTCTATCTGGGATCTGTTGGCTGGTAGATAACTTTCTTCATTTTTCTAAGCCTCGGCTTGCTCCCTTAAACAGTCCCTAAGGTAAGTGTTACTGACCTCACTTTGTGTTTGGTTTAAGTGTACATGTGTAAGTTTTTTTTTTGTGTGTGTGTGTGTGTTGTTTGCATTAGATAGTCTTTTTCCCCCTACAGAAGCATTCCCATAGGATAAAGGAGTAACTCTGGGGTGATGTTCCTAGATACTACTTATTTGGGTAAGTTCTGAGCTTGTCCCTGGTCCACAGTTGGATGTTTTAAAGAAGAGGCTCAGAGTGGTTGGGGTTATCCAGGGAGGTTGAACAGCTGTGGGCAGAATGGCCTCTTGGTTGTGCCCATCAGATCCTGGTTTGTCTGTAAGTTCTGTGATGGAGGGCAAAGAATGGTGTGAGAGACACTTGTTTAGTTGTAACAGGCATAAAGGTCTTTAAATCCTATAGTGAGCTTTCTGATCTTCAGATCCTCAGACAGAGTCACCCTTCATGAGTGGGATGGGCTTGCTTGTCTATTTCCTTTTGCAGACTTTTAATGGCCTTGTAAAGGATGGCAGCTTTGTTACCTAGACCTAGGTTGGATCACAGGTGCCCTGGACCTTGGTTCCCGCGACTCTGGCTTTCGGGGCCACTCTTCTCCAAATCTCCATTCCTTAGAGACTCTATGCTGGGGCATGAATGGCCCTTTTTCTTTCTCCAGGCCTCAAAGGATCTACCACAAGTCCAGCTAACCTCACTTCTCCATTTCTCCCTCTCCAAAGATAATTCTAGAACAGCAACACACACACACACACACATACACACACACACACACACACACACACCCATTATTCAAATTTCTCCCATATTAGAACCAGATGGTCATTAGTAAAGTCCTAGAAACTGGTAACCCCCCAAACTTTCACCTTACTCTCTCCTTCCAATTTTCTTAGAGTAAAGACTCAGAGATCTGTCCCTGCCAGCCCCGTCAGAGAACTCAAGGAGGCTTCTTGCTGCAGTATTGAAGACACAATCGACACAGACAAAAACACAAGCCAAGGGTCATTTGTGCCATATTCTAACCAACAGTGAGAAATACAATGGACACGGGAAACCAGAATTCACGTTCACAGTTCAGTTTCTTCGTTTCCTAGTAAATCTGTGTGAAAAGTTAAACTACCAGGGGAAATGTGCTCCGTGAGAAGGGAATCGAAGTTGAGATTTGTTGTAGTGGGGAGTTGAGGGACACCAAGGGATGGTCTGATCTCTCCAGCTTCCATTTGATATGTCTTTGACAAATGGGAATGAAACAGATTTATTGCTTTCTTTCCTTCAAGAGCTATGATCTCCCAACTCTCAGCTTGTAAAATCCAAATCTCAGAAAATGAAGGGTTAAGGGAAAAACAGCTTAAAATTTTCCACTAAATACATTTAAGAGATAAAGCAGGCAAGTATTCTAAAAGGCATCCTCTGGTTTAGCAAGACAGATTCATGACGGTGGAACTCTGCTCCCATAAATAAGCCTGTCCTGGGTGGCTTTCTCCCTCGTTCAGGAAATATCGCCGCAGCACTGCAACCTGTGGGGACTGAGTATCTCACCAGCTTTATGTTGTGCAGAGCAAACCTCTCCTGCAACTTTATTAATTAATTTATTTATTTGGTGCTAGGGATGGAAGCAGGGCTTCACGCATGCTAAGCACGTACTCCACCACTGAGCTGCACCCCTGCCCTCTTTCACCTTTTTAAACCAACCCTCTCTTCCTACCAGGCTACTTGTTGGCTTTTGCTCACACACACACACACACACACACACACACACACACACACACACACACACACCATCTTTTTATAGGTCTCAGGACAATATCCGGCCATTTCATGAGTTCTGAACATGTTGTTTGCCTCTGGTTTTCTGATGGATTTTAGATGTGGCAGTCAGAGAAGGCCAAGTTATGCCTGAGCAATGATTCTCCAGGAGCCATGCAAAATTTGGGGAAGGAGAATCCCAGTCCAAGAGAACAGGCCATCTGTAAAGGCACTGAGAAGCCCAGGGCTCCGGCAGAACTGAGGGAGGTGGAGAGAGGTGGGATGCCTATGTGCTGGGCTGCAATCCTGCCGGGCTTCATGGATCATGTGAGATGTTTGGGGGTTTATCCCCAAGGTGACCAGCAGCCACTATAGATTCCAATGTGCTGAAAACGCTGCATGCCCTTGGGTGGGATGTGTTTCTTGCTGCATATTTTTCCTCTGTGGCTTTCTTTTTTATGTTTCCCTGCTGATCAGCCTCCTTCTGACCAATATCATTTTCCTCTAGACACCTTAACATCTTCATTGAGGTTGGCCCCTCTCCTGCTGAACTGGGGTCCACGCTGCCTTTGCACATCTTGATGTGACTGTACTGATTTCCTGGCTTAACTCTTGGGAGGACAATCTCTTTGTCACATTCCTAGCTCTTGGGGAGCGTATCACCATTACCTTCCTTCCCACGTCGCAAGAATATAATCATGCACGTAGTTGCCTTAGGGACTCAGGCCAGAAGCAATAACAGAGATTTAAAAAGAATGCTGTTTGGAGTCCAGGTGTGTTGGGAGTGCTAAAAGCAGAAGCCAGACTGAAAACAGTCAGCATTCTCAGAGAGGGAGTTAGAAATAAACACTTACGTCATCCCTTCCTTCCCCTGCATTGACGCAGTCCAGACGGGTGATGGCCCAGCATTTTGGATTCATCTGGTTTTCTCATTAATTCTCCTCTCAATTCCGCTTTTATTATCTACAATGACAACAGCACGCTATCCCTAGGCAGCTTCTAAAGTCATCTAGCTGTCATTAGAGCTATAAAGACTCCTATCTTTCTGCACAGTAAACAAATTAAACCGCTTCTTGGTATCTGAACCTCTTGATGAAAGCGATATTGTCATTGTTATGATTTCTACCCTGCTTTGCAAGCCTACTGCGTGCCAGCTATACTTGTTTGCTTTATATACATTGTTCATGAAACCTTTGTGACAATACTTTCAAGGACAATGGGCCCCATCTGCAGAAGACAGGAGTCTCAGAGTGACAAGATACATATGCTACTCAAAGTCTATGACTAGTCACCCCTGATTCTAAGCCAGACCTGCCGGTCCCTGCAGCCCATACTCCCTGCTCTAGGCTGACCTGACACCTGCCCTCTCAGTTGTTCCCTCATGCACTGAGTTGTATGTTCACTTTGCTTTCTCTTCTCAGAACAGGCCTTCAAAATATTCCCAGGCTCCAACTTCTGCCTTTTTAAAAAAATCACCTTATTCCCTGGAGTCACATTGCCAGAGGGGACCTTGGAGATGATTTCCTCTAGACATTTCCAATCTTGTGTCCCCAGATGGTAGACTTCAAGCTGTTTTCTATATTTGAAAATATCTAATTAAATCAATACTGGTGTTTGGTTTTTACAACTCAAATAAGAACAATTATTATTTGATAAATTCAATTTCTCAAATAGAATGTTTGGGATAGATGCAATTCATGGTGTAGTAGCTGCTGGTGGTGGTGGAGGGGGGGCAGAAAGGAATTCATAAAAAACACCCTTGTTGGTTGAAACTCTGCCTTATAACACCAGTCCGGCCCCACATGTTTTTTAGAAGATGGCTTAATTGATATCCACTGTGAAAAGAGGGAATGTGCATTGAGCCTCACTGGTTGAAGGTGACTTTAAAGATCAGGTTGTCCAACGAATCTATACACCAGTCATGAATGGGCACTTACTGTTGCCCATGGGTCTTCTTCCAGTTTAAGAGCACTGACTGTTCAAAGTTCCTGCTTTTTGTAATTTCTTCACTTTGGTTCCAGCTTTCTGGAGCTTTGCAGGATGGTCTCATCACTCGTTCAGGGTGTGCTTCATGCAGGAGGTGTGACAGCTGTGAGCTCATTGCCAGGCAGGCGGGCACAGTAAAGGGGTGATTGCCATCCTCAGCTCAGCATACAGACCATGACCCCTAAGTCCACTGTCTCCCCTAAAGAGGCCCTGAAGCCTCTCTCATCTCACCCTGTGTTCACTGCTTAGGCCACAGGACGTAGGACTTTGAACTGCAGGAAGCTAGTGCTTGAATGTCTGACTAGGCACTGGGCTTCTTCTTTCTAGAATCTTCTCTTTCCCACTGTTTCCCCCTGAGAGATTTCCTTGACTGGATAAAGCCTCTGTACCTGCTTCCATCATTCTCAGAGTCTTTCTCATCTGTAACATTCAGGATTCGTTGACTATTCCTCTCTCCATACCACATGGTGAGTCTGAAGAGCCAGGAATGACATTTTATTGTCTTACTCCCAAGGTCATTGAGGCCAGTCATGTGTGCTCAGTGAAACAGATGAATGAATGCATGAGCTTTACAGTATCCCCGTCTCAGCCCCTCCCGGTCTTCCCAGTTCCCCACAGATTTCTGTAGAGCATCCTATGGACCATTCCTGTGTTCTGATCCAAACCCACTTACCAACCCCTCAAACTACATTATCGCTTAATCGTGGCCATGGGTGTAGAGTTGAGAAGAGAAAGAAAAGGGATGAGGGAGGGAGGGACAAGGTGACATAATCACATCAGAACAAAGAACTTGGGCTGTTAGATGAGGAACTGAGTCCAGGAGAGGAAGGGTACCTAGTGAGCCACACCGGGGAAGTGGGAGCCTGTTCCCATCTGCCGACCCTGTGTCTTTCCTCTGGGTGGCGAACAGTGCTCCAAGTGCATCTTGCACACCCAGACAAAAACATACTGGTGTGGGGGGCGGGCGCAGTGGCACATGCCTGTAATCCTAGCGGGGCTCGGGATGCTGTGACAGGAGGATCGCGAGTTCAAAGCCAGCCTCAGCAATGAAGATGCTCTGAGCAACTGAGTGGGACCCTGTCTCTGAATAAAATACAAAATAGGGCTGGGGATGTGGCTCAGAGGTGGAGTGCCCCTGAGTTCAATCCTTGGTACCCACCCCCTCCCCGCAAAAAAGTACTGGCTCTTTGCCAAATAAAGCAGCCTCATTGTTATGGTAAGGGATCATTGGTCAAAATTTTAAATATGATTCCTGATTTAAACCCAGCCTCTGGCTTCAGCA